GGGGGGGGGGGGGGGGGGGGGGGTGATTTATTGAAGCAGCCCGGGGACAGAATGGAGACACATCGTGAGCTTAGAGACACTACGGGGTTCTGGGTGAGGAGACACGCTTCTGACACCCAGTCCTGCCTCCTTCCGCCTGCCTGTGGATCGGACTCACAGCTGGCAGATGAGCCAGCAGCGGCCCAGTCCGGCCAATGCCCCCCCCACACCCCAGGAGGCACCTTGCAGCATGCTAATGGTGGTGGCGCTCGCTATCGGTGACGTCAATCTGGCAGGAGATGGCCTCCGCCGGCCCAACCCCCCCCCAAGCTATTTTAAGCTTGGTTCCAAGCCCGTACCCAGCAAGCGTGCTAACATTGCCTATTCAGGAAGCAGGTAGAACACCGCGGGGGGGCACGTGCGTCTCTAACGCACCACACCCAGGGCGCGAGGCACTGTGTTTACGTCTCCTGCAGGAGGGGCTTCCGACCGTCTAATGCCTGCAGGCCGCTTTTACCATCATATCCCCAGCCCCGTAACACAGCTGGGGAGGATATTTTATTCCAGATGTGAACGAGAGGGGTCGTGAAAATATACAGGCCTTTTTATTCTTGGAGATTAACATACCAACTATGCAAAACCCCCTGCCTTCCACTGCCCAGTACAGTACTGTTCCTGGACTGGAATCCTGGATTATCTAACCACCCCCCCCCCCCCCACAGCGGTTACCAGGCATGAATTCACTAAAAACTTTCCTTCTGACCTTTGAGGCTCAGACAGCCCTTGACAAACGCATGTCTCGTGGGGACGCGCTACATATTTAAAGGGTCTGCACTACAGATATAAAGTTTACGTGGCGGTTAAGTCTGGCTTTCTGATGCATTCAGGTTAAGCGGCACGACGGGCACAGGAGGCAACGTCAGAGAGGCATTACGGGCGCAGAATGATCGATGCGCTTGCCCACGTTAAAGCGACGCTGCACGTTTACGTCACCCGTCGAGGATCTGATTGATAAGACCGGCGAACCTTCACACACGGTGTGAACAAAAAAAAAAAAAAGAAAAGACGAAAGGTTCCCACAGGCTGCGTGGGAGCCCCGGCGCCACGGCAACACTGCTGCCAGCGTGACGCCACCCGTGCAGCTCACGACTCGCACTGCCCCCTCCTGGTCGGCTTAATGAGGCGCGTGGGGCTGAAGCGTGAGTCACCGCTCGGCCGGGCCGCTCTCCCAGGGCGGAGCCGCTTCCCAGCTGCCGCCATCCACTTGCCGCGTGTAGGTACGAGGAGGGGGGCGTGGCCTGTCCATGGCAATCGGTAACGCGGAGGAGAGGCGCCGGCCGCTCCGGCACAACCGAGTGCTACGGGTTCCCTGCTCTTTCGGCCATTCTCCCGTGGGTCCGGTGGCCCAGATGGAGCAATAGGTCAGGACCTTCAAGCTGATGGCAGGCCTCGGTCCGAGGGAGCTGTCCATGGTACTGACTCACATCTCCCTCAGACCTCTCATTAGCGCCCCCACCCTCCTGCGTCCAAGGTGACCGAGTCACACACCTCTCCTGGCTGCAGCTAAGCACACGGGCGCCCCCTACAGATCGTTTCCCATTTCAACACCCTACACCACTCATACACACCACAGACAGAACCATGCAACTGAAAATAAACATTTACTTAAATCACATCGAGACCTATAGACCTATAAGACCTTAAAGCAAATAATAAGGAAGAAGCTCTTTGGGGGGGGGAAGCCCAGAATGCACAAAGATGGCATAGCGTAGGAGTCACAGTTAACGCCTTGCCGTCGCCCGCCAGTAAAAGGCATTTTAATGGACCCGTTCTCGGGGGACGTGGACCTCATGCCTCCGCATTCGCCGACCTCGCCAAAATAGCGTGTCGGCCACGCGGGTCTCCAGCGGCATCTGCTGTGTGTGTCTCAGACTCCAGGGTGCGAGGGAGGTCAGCAGGGCCGTGATCAGAAGGACAGGGATGGTAATTACACGAGTCAAAGCGAAAGGTCTCTGCAGAATCCAGAATTAATACCTACTTAAAAAAAACACACATTCTATATATATTAGACAGACACACACAGACATCCTCAAAATCATAAGCATAAATCTGCCGAGTCTGGAGCATGACCAGAATGACAGCGGGGCACATTAGACCTCTCCTTATGATGTCAATTGCCACATCTCCATATCTCACATTAGACCTTGGCTTATGATGTCAATTGCCACATCTCCATACCGCACATTAGACCTCGGCTTATGATGTCAATTGCCACATCTCCATATCTCACATTAGACCTCGGCTTATGATGTCAATTGCCACATCTCCATATCTCACATTAAACCTCGGCTTATGATGTCAATTGCCACATCTCCATATCTCACATTAAACCTCGGCTTATGATGTCAATTGCCACATCTTCCATATCTCACATCCATAAAGGGGCCAATTCTCATTAAGGTATCAATTAGCTGGGACTCCTTCCAGGGACAGGCACATCGATACGCACGCAAACACACACACACACACACACATATATATACACAGACACAGATACACACACGCACCCACAGGCAAACCCCTTCACTCCATCCACCAAGGGGTGACTGAAAAGCTGCCTAAATAAGAATTTCCCTAAATCGAAAGAGACAAATGTTAACCCAACTTTTACCAACGTGTAACTCGTAACCACCAGACAATCCACGTTTTTGCTCCCTTCCAGCTCCCTACTGTCTGGGTTGGAAGAAACAAACAACCATAACCTAACCCAAAACGAAAAAAGTAATACACAGAAATCCATGCCAATCCATGGGTGAGATCGTTTATGTCAGTATTCTGGGGCTACGACCCACAACCCTGCCATAACATAAATGCGTCAGACACACGCGGTGACGCCTCAAAACACAATTAGCACTCTGCTTTATGTTTTTAACCTCCCGCTGGAGGAGGAGGAGGGTTAGGATGAAGGATGCTCTTCACATCTTCTAATCTCAGAGGTCATGCGAGTGAAGGAACGAGCAGGCAAGAGAAACCTCCTACTGGGAACAGCAGCCAAAGCACGACCTGCTGAGGGCTCGAGTGTCAAGGCGCCTTTCATTTACAGAGAAGCAGCAGGATTGGAGGAGATCAGAGATGGACCGTTTAATTGCAAGTTCAAAGAGCACTATTCCGAGACAACAGCTCTCAGTTCCATGCAGCGCGCTGTAGGCTGCTACCACATCAACAAAACTGGCTGTGCTGGTCAAGTTCACATAAACCTATGATGAACCTGTATGATGCAAATACAGAATGCAAATCCAGTCCTCAACAGTCAACATCTTTGCTGTTAAGACTCTCTAATAAAGGCATTCCTTGGTTTCAGGGTATAAAAATCCACCTTGCAGACACTTATCTAACAGCGTACTATGGTACTGCCTCTATTTATACTCTGCATAAGGTAAAACCAACTGGGAGTGAAAGAGTCACTCAAACAGTTATTTATAGCTAGGATGGAGGTACAATGAAGAGCCTCAGGATTCACTGCAGACCCCCCGGGTGATTTACCCCACGAAGGCATTTCAGGGTCGACTGACCGATTTACCAGAAACGAACATCTTCATCACGATTATGTGGGGCTCTGCTGTTCCCCCCCCCCCCCAGGACCACTACGTTTCAA